TTCGATTTATGAGTACACATTGACCAATAATTTTATTATTAAATTAATGGAATGAAATGTAGATCATAATCTCCTACTATCTAAGAGTGACGAATCCTCTTTTGGTCATTCACAACCTTCATATGTTTCTTGACATACTCAAACGATGCCGTATTAGCTATCCTTAGATGAGCAACATCCAACACAATCAAAGTATGACTGTCCTTATATAAGGCACTATGATGACCTCAAGTCAAATGACCAATTCCACTACCAAATATTAGAGATTAACTACTGACACTCAGATAGTTATCTATGTGGAATTTCCTAGCGGGTCTCCAATGTTTTGTTCAACAATAAGATATTCACGTGTTCATTTAAGTGTCATCATACTTTAACTTGTGAGATCAACTACTTACTTTACAAATAAAAAATGTCACACGTAATAGTCTATCCGTAATAATGATATCCGTATCGTTATTATTTACGACCACGGATGATTTAAGATTCAATCATATATAATTTGCATCTCACAACCAAAACTCCTTGTGATTAACAAATTACCAAGATTTGAATCTACGAACTCTATTATTTAATTTAATTGAATATTAATTAAATAATAAATCTGTCATAATATTGCATCAACTATATAGTAAAAGTGCTTGTGTCCAAAGTTGATTGGACTTAGGATATAACATTTACATAAACTATGGACGAAATAATCAACAAAGCTATCAGCAACAAAGTAATAATTTCAAAAGGTACAAAGGAAATAAAGTAAATAAAAGAAGCACGAAGAAAGTTATTTAGATATGGAATAAAAGAACAATGGGCACGTACCCGTTGTACAGGAAAACATTTTGTGGAGTTCTACCAAAAATTAATCAAGGGGAGACAAATTTTGCTGATTATGATAGTCCAATTGATGTGACTCAATTGGATCTCTAATTTTTTTGCTGAGCCAAATGAGAATATTGATCGTTTAATTGTGGCTGGTGTAATGGAATACATACATTAGCTTACTTTCTAGTATTTCCCTTTGTTTTAAAAAATCAATTTGAAATATATTTTTATTTTTCACAAAAAAATTGAAACTTTATTATGCATTTTTAATTTCTCAGTATTGAATTATGTTTACTCTTTTAAATTTAAATTTAATTTTTTAAATATATTTTTTTGTTATAGATTCATGATAGATTTTCAATATATCTGTTTGATTGATAGTGCAACTATAAATATTATTCTTCAAAACAAAAAAATATTTTTTGGACTTAACATTAGTAGAAAACAATGTTAATATGATATGAGGTACATCAAATATCGTTGAAAGCTTCGAAAGAGCTTGTATTATTTTATCAAATAATACAAAATTATATATTGACGATGCGTCTTATTCTAGCAAATTCAAAATAAATTTGCTAAGTTTTAAAAATATTTGCTACAATAGATATTACATTGAGACAATGTAAGAAAATAATGTTGAACATCTTTGCATGATTTCTTTTTATCTTGCCAGAAGTAGATAAAAAAATTTCATACACTCTCACCTGACATGTAATATACAGTTATAAGAACGATTGAATCAATTATTGTCACAAACTGAAAGTTCATTGAGCCCAAAAAGTTTTATACTTTAACATGATCGACTTGAACATTCAAGAGCTATAATGATGCGTCGAATAATAAACAACTCATATGGACATCCTTTAAAGAACCAGAAGATTTTTTTACCTAATGATTATCCATGTTTGCAAGTTGGTCATTAGATCTTCGACTACAAAGTTCAATATTGAGTCTCCAACTTTGTTAAAAAGAATTCATAAAAATATATGTAGGATAATACACCCACCACGTAAATCATTTCGTTATTTTATAATATTAATTAATTCTTCTATTAGATGGTCATATGTTTGTTTACTTTCCATTAGGAATATAACTTTTGCTAGACTGTTTGCTCAAATCATAAAATTAAGAGTTCAATTTTTTGATGACTCAATCAAGACAATTCATCTTGACAATGCTGATGAATTTAAATCATAAACATTCATTATTATATGTCAATTGTGATTGTTATTCAACATTTAGTTGTACATGTCCATACACAATATGGTTTAGTGGAATCATTTATTAAACGTCCACAACTTATTGCCAGACCATTACTTATAAAAACAAAACTTCCAGCTTCTGTTTGGGATCATGCTATATTACATGCTGTGTCATCGGTTCGTATCAACTAATTGCATATTATCAATATTCACCTCTACAATTGACATTTGATCATGGACCTAATATTTCTTACCTGCAAATTTTTGGTTATGCTGTCCAAGTCCCTATTTCACCGCCCACAATGTACTAAAATGGGTTCCTAACAAAGACTTGGCGTTTATGTAGTTTTTGATTCACCATCTATTATAAGATATCTTTAATCTTTAATGGATGATTTATTTACTACAAGTTTTGCAGATTGTCATTTTGATAAAATAACTTTTTCAACTTTGGGAGGAAAAAAGTACATTCTGAAAAACTAGGTAAAATTTATTAGAATGAAACAACTCCAACTCAATTGGATACCCGTAGTAATCAATGTAAAAGGTTAAAAAATATTATTCATTTGTAAAATGTTGCAAATCAATTATCTAATGTATTTGGTGACACAAGAAAGGTAACAAAGTCATACATACAAACAGAAAATATTTCGGCAAAAATTGATGTCATTGAAAGACAATTTGTTGTAGCAAATGAATCTTAAATATGCCAGAAGCGTGATTGACTATTTGGTTAAAAAGACTCTGTACCTTGAAAATGAAAGATACGTGAAAAAAATCAACAAAAAATTTCAAAAGAAGTAACATTAGAAAATATTGATTGATCAACAAGTGTATGAAAATAATGAAATTTCAATAAATTATATGTTATCTCATAAATTATGAGAACAAAATAATATTTTTATAGACAATATTTTTGTCTTTAATGTGGCTCTTGATATTATACAAAATGAGGATCATGAACCTCAGTCAGTTGAAGAATGTCAACATAGAAATGATTGGTTAAAAAAAAAGCCTTACAAACGGAATTGAATTTTTTAGGTAAACGGAAAGTGTTTTGACCTGTAGTTCGAACACTTGAAAATATAATCCATGTTGGATACAAATGAATTTTTTTTACGATAGAGAATTGAAAATAATGAAATTACAAGATACAAAGCTTGACTCGTAGCTTAAGGTTTCTCACAAAGAGGAAGCATATTCTCTCGTAATGGACACCATCACTTTTAGATTATTAATTAGTTTAATTGTGTCCCAAATGCTCGATATGGGGCTTATGGATGTAATAACTGCCTATTTGTATGGTTTATTTGATAGTGTCATATATATGAAAGTCCCCGAATGGCTTAAAGTGCCATGAATAAAAGATACATGCTCGAGAATCATGTTCTCAATTAAAATGTAAATATCACTATATGGATTGAAACAATTCGTACGTGTGGTATACTTGTTCATCAATCTACATATACAGAAAAAGTCTTAAAAACATTTTCATACGGATAATGCACATCCATTTACATCACTTATGGTTGTCCGATCACTTGATATGAAAAAAAGATTCATTTGTCCACTTGAACAAGAACCTAAAGTACCACATCTTAGTGTAGTTGGAATATTAACTTATTTTGCAAACTGCACTCGACCCGACATAACATTCTTTGTAAATCTCCTTACGAGATATAATTCTACGCCAACTCAAAGACATTGAAATGATGTTAAACATATTTTTCGTTACCTAAAGAGTACTACTGATTTGGGATTATTTTATTTTCAAAAATCAATATCCACCTAAGTGGGATATGCATATGCAGGTTATCTCTAACAAATATGATATATATTTACAAGTGGAAGAACAACTACATCATGGAAATTTGTAAAGCAATCATTGATAGCAATATCCTCGAATTATTCTGAAATTATTGCAATTCATGAAGCAAGCCGAGACGATATATGGTTGAGAAATATGACCCGTCATATCCAAGCATTCTACAGGTTAAGTTCAACAAAAAATTGTTCAACAACTTTGTACGAATACAATGCAACTTGTATTGTACAACTCAAAGAAAGCTATGTCAAAGGTGACGGGACGAAATATATTTCTCCAAAATTCTTTAATACACATAAGCTTAAGAAAAATGGCGACATCGATATTCAACAAATTCGCTCAAGTGACAAAGTAGCTGATTTATTCACAAAAGCACTGCCAATATCTACATTCAAGAAATTAATTCATGAGATTGAAATGTGCCAACTTAAAGATTTTCAGTGATCAACATAAGGGAAATAACTATACCCTTTCCTTCGCTTGGATTTTATTCCACTGAATTTTCCTAACAAAGTTTTAATGAGACAATATTTATTTTTAATACTTCAAAATAATTGTATTCTCTTTCCTTAGTTAATTTTTTTCTCCCACTGAATTTTTATAAAACAAGACTTCAACGAGAAATATATTTTATAACGTGTCATTCAAGGAAGAAGTGTTATAAATGATAGTTTATCAGTTAATGACAATTATACCCCCACAAGCTTAGACATTATTATCGTTGTATCCCCGATCGTTCCCTATGAATATAGGACTTTAATTCTTCATAAAGCACACAGGTCTATTGACTTTTATTCTCACATTTTACAATAAAAATAACAACATAATTTCGGCTTGTGACTTCTCTTTTCTTTATTAAAATTTAAAACAACATAACCTTAGTGGGTTTTTATGCACCACTAAGAAGTTCTGATGGAGGTTTAGAATTCCCCAACCATATACGTAAGTACAAAAACCATGGGTACTAAAAGGAGGGCGTAAACCTGCTTACCTTCCAAAGGCAATGAGATCTAACATGTGAAGAGAAGTAAAAATAGGGGAAGTGCTGTTTCCCATACAAAGCAAGCAAATAAAAATTGAAATAACGCTCTCTAATGTTAGGAAAACCATATCTATCAATCTGTACAAGAGCATGAAGTACGCGTGGAAGATCAAGAGCACAATTTTTTCCTAAAAAATTGGTATTCTGTAAGAAATTAATACTAGTTTCCCGTTGCTAATTCTTGGGTATCAACTAATAATTATAGTACAAACTTCAAAACACTAGTAAATTTTTTGCTTCAAAAGCTGAAAAACACAAAGGATGGTATTTATACAACACAACAAAACGATATACTAAACTACAGAATTATAATGGCAGTTTATTGTCTCCAGGTAAGGACACCAATTCCCATATCTTGATCGTCCCATCATCACTTGCAGAGGCAAGAAGCTGATTTTCCTGCCATTTTTCGATAAAGCAAACATATATATAAGGTCCCTCTCAATTATGCAATAGAATGCAAATGCAGCGTTACATAGGAATAACAAGGAACATTATACCCAAAGTTCTAGCAAGCCACAAACCAAGCATACAACTGATAAAATAAGTCTACCAGCGATATGGATAGTGTAACCTAGTTCATGAGCCAAGTTTTTTCATTAACCATAACACATGGCATTATCAAATCCTTAAGAGAAGGTTAGCTGAACAGGCTGAATTCAGTTTTGACAATTTGCGAGTTGTGTTACTCTAGAATCTGCATCTATAGAGGCAGCAACAAGTTGGTAGAACCAACTACAGGCACATTCACAAGTACCCCAGTAAATAGGAATTTAATCCAGAAGAGCAATCTTTCAATTACACTGTTCCTTCTATTTGAAATCAACCATGTGTGGATCGAAATGTTATACATGGAAGGGAAAAGCTCCAAAGTATAGAACAACTTAATTCGGTTAATTGTGGAGTTCATCTCCATTCCTTCAACTCAGAAGTACTTAAATGCTTGCACCATCGTGAAGGGAAAAGCAACTAATAGCATGCAACTCCAATAAAGTGACATGCTAGTTAAGTGTGTAGGAGATTTGCTAAAAATCAGCTGCCAGGCCCGAAAACTAGATAAGAGCATTACTAGAAAGGACTCTCTCATCCCACCCATGAGACTCGTTATAATCTATATCATACACAGACTGATTCACAAAATCTTGTGCATTAGAAAAAAACAATAGATTTACCATGGAACTCCATTTCACAGAATTTACATCCATGTCGTGAGCCTTGTCTTTCTTCAGAAGTAGTTCATAAGTGGGTCCATCAACCTGTAACGAACAAGAAAAGGTAATTGTAACTACAGCAAGCAGGAATAAAGCTAAAAAATTCCCCATGATTCTGGAATACTAACATCACAACACTGTTTCCTACAATAACTTTGATATCAAAACAGGGTCAGTCTATAAAAGCAAAATACTACTACACGCATAGGCAGAACTTATTTCGGGTCTAGTTAACCCCCCCTTTGTCACTTCCTGCAACTCATGACAATAAAATAATTCAGTTGTCAATGAACAAAGGTTTCAGTGTGGAATTCTTAAAGCGTATGCTTAGTTCTATATGTAGAGAAGTTAAATCTTCAGTTCCTATAATATCTGGGGTAGGTTGGCCTATTACCCAAAGGAGCATGCAGAAACATAGACAATTCACATCCTTTGTCATCCATGAAACCATTAACTTCGGTCTCTCTGTTTCATTTTATCCCACGTCCCTGGGACCATCTAATGCTTGCATACAGAAGAAACTTGCCCTACCAGTCATATGGAACGAAGAACTAAGAAAATGTAGGAAAAGATTGGTCTACTGAACTAACATTCACCATGAGCAAACATATATGTCGTGTAGAAATCCCGTAATTATTTCTAGGATTATGGGATGATTTGATATTATTGTATGATCATATTTAGAGATTAGGAATATTTTTCCTTCCATGTGTAGATAGTTACATTTTTTTGTTCCTGTCTGTATATTATATAATGGTGTATAAGATTGTAAATATTATGTCGTATGAAACTAGAAATTTCCAACTTTCTATTCCACTTTACATGGTATCAGAGCTTGGTCGTGTTTGACCTAGCCGTCAACCAATAATGGAAGAACACAGAAAACAGCAACCAATCGACGACACCCGAGCCTCAAATCAGCAAGGTAGAATCCCTCCCGTCAATGGGCTCAGGCAGATTGGACAATTCTTCATTCCAACTCACTGTGGAAAAATTGGATGGAAAAAGGCCCAATTAATTAAGCTCATTATTGATGGAAAAGGAAAGCTCGGGTAGCTTATCGAAGAGAAGCAACAACCTGCCTCAACCGACGCCGTTTCACTGCAGAGATGGAGATCTGAAAATTCGTTTGTGACTACATGGTTAATTAACTCCATGAAACCCGCAATCGAAACGACATACTTATTTCTTTCCACATCGAAGGACGTACGGGATGCAGTTCGAGATATGTGCTCTGACACTGAGGACTCTTCCAAAATCTTTGAGATTAAGACTAAACTATGGTAAACGAGACAGAGAGACAGGAAGTGACAGAATGCTTTCTAGAGATGAGCTCCATGTGGCAAGAACTCGATCAGAACACTTATAAGAAGTGGGACTGCCTGGCTGACACATTGTGATACAAAAAGAAATTGGAAAACGAGAGCGTCTATGAATTGTTGGCTGGCCTGAATTAAGACTTGGATGACGTGAGGAAGGGGATTTTGAGTTGTCGACTTTTGCAATCGCCGAGAGGTCTTAACGGAGGTGCGCAGAGAAGAAAGTCGTCGAAGGGTTATGTTGAATGAGGCTAAAGAGGAAGAAAATGGGTCTGCCTTAAGTTCTAAGGGTATTGGGCCTAATGGGTCGACCCCAATGATGAAAAAGGCTGCACCTAGTCATATATATAATGGACCGGATATTCATTACTCAAAATGAAATGGGCTGAATGAAATGGGCCCATTAAATAAAAGAAATGGACCTAGAGCTAATGGGCCCGGAGGAAGACAACAAGGACGTCCATGGTATGATCATTGTAGTAAATCGGGATATAAAGAGGACATGTGTAGGGATCTGCATGGAAAACCAACTGATTGGAAACCAAGACAAAATAATAGGAATAGGGGGTACCAAGCTTGTGCTCATCCGATTGAAGAAAAACATAATCCTACTCAGAGTCGTGCATTCAATCCTGAACAATTGGAACAATTGTACAAAATGTTCTCAAATTTTCAATCACCCGGTTCGTCAAGTTCTCTAACGCACAAAGGTATTTTGAGAGCATTACACATAATCACTCACTCCAGAGCTCCTTGGATTATTGATTCAGGTGCGTCTGATCACATGAAGAACTCTTATCATCTTTTTTCCACATTCCACTTGTGCTAGTAACATCAAAGTTAAAATTGCAGACGGATCATTCTCACCCATAGCAGGAAAAGGGAATATTCGAATCTCTGACCTTATAACCCTAGAGGCTATTCTCATGTTCCGAATTTATCTTACAACTTGCTATCAATTAGTAAATTAACGAAAAATTCCAATTATTCAGCTAAATTCATCTCATCTCATTGTATTTTTCAGGACCTACCATCGGGTAAGACGATTGACAGTGCTAAGGAATGTGAGGAGCTTTACTACCTTGAACAGGTACATGTGAGTAAACGAAATCAAATTGCAACTTGTGAATCTGTTTCTACTTCTAGAAATAGCGAACCTATGTTATGGAATCTTAGAATGGGTCATACCAATTTTCAATATTTACTCCATATATTTCCTTCCATGTTTCCTAATAAAAAGATCTTTGATTTCCAATGTGAAAATTGTGAACTAGCAAAGCTCATCGTTACTCATTCCCACAATCTACGCACAAACCGTCGAAACCATTCACCTTAATTCATAGTGTTTTAAGGGGGTCCATCACTCATCCCTAGTAGAATGCACAAAAAATGGTTCGTAACATTTATAGAAAACCATTCTAGATTGTGTTAGGTTTACCCACTAAAAGAAAAGTCTGATATCCAAACTATGTTCAAAAACCTCCTTCAATGTACCAAACACAAATACAAATTTTGCGTACTGATAATAGCACAGAATATTTTAAGACTACCTTGAAAGAATTTCTCCAAAAACAAGGAATAATTTATCAAAGCTCTTATGTCGATACTCCCCTACAAAATAGGATTGTTTGAACGAAAAAATAGAGACATTTTGAAGATAACTCGTGCCTTAATGTTCACCAAAAATATGTCGAAATATTTTTGGAGAGATGCCATCTTAACATCGACATATCTTATAAATAGAATGCCCAGCCGAATTCTCTCATTCAAATCACCTCTCCAAATGCTTCAAGATTTTTTTCCCAGTTCCCACCTTAATTTAAACTTACATCTCCGAATATTCGAGTGTATTGCCGTTGTCCATATGTATCACCGAAGTAACTCAATCCTCGTGCACTTAAATGTGACTTCATTGGATACTCATCCACCCAAAAGGGCTACAAATGCTATGATACATCCACAAAAAGGATATTTGTAAGCATTGATGTCACATTCTTCAAAGAAACTCCCTATTTTCAAAAGTCCTATCTTTAGAGGGAGAAGTTGAATGAAGATCGACACTTGGGCAAAGATCAACTCTTAGACTTTACTCTCACCCCTACTGAACCAATCATAAACATGGAATCTATCACTCCTAACATGCCATCTACAAAGGGAAATTTAAATTCAAGGGGAGATACAAAAAAGCAAGTTACCAAGGAGATATTAGCTTACTCAAGAAAATCAAAATCAACGTACAAAGAGAACCTCACACCCAAAGCACTAAAAGAGTTGGAACTGATAATAGCTTCAGATCCATATGAGAACTCTTTAGATAATCAGACCTCTTCAAATAATGAGCCTTCAAAAAAGTGACCTACCCATTGCTCTAAGAAAAAAACCTTGATCATGTACTCTTCACCCTATTTCAAAATTTGTTTCCTGTAACAATCTATCTGCAAGATTTCACACCTTATCTTATAATCTCGACAATACAGAAATTCCAAAAAATATTCAGGAGGATATGATTATTCCAAAATGAAAAGAAACAATTTTGGAAGAAATATGAGCATTGGAGAAAAATAAAACATGGGAGGTGGTAGAACTACCAAAAGGAAAAAAAACCTATCAGACGCAAATGGGTCTTTAATGTAAAGTATAAAGCTGATGGGATAATAGAATAGTACAAACCTCGTCTTGTTGCAAAAGAATATACACAAACTTACGGTATTTATTACACAAAGACCTTTGCCCCTGTAGCAAAATTGAATACTATTCGGGTTATCTTATCCTTACAGCAAACTTGGATTGATCTCTCCAACAGCTTGATATTAAGAATGCGTTCCTAAACAGAGAATCGGAAGAAGTCTTCATGACACTCATGAGAAAAATAAGGTGTGTAAACTTAAAAAGTCACCATATGGCTTCAAACAATCACCAAGAACATGATTCGCCAGATTTGCAAAAGAGTGGAAAAGTCAAAGATATCAATAAGGACAATCAGATCATACTTTGTTTTACCATCTGAGAAAGGGATGAAAACAATCTTAATTGTTTGAGTTGATAACATTGTAGTGACCAGAGATAATATAGTAGAAATCGACAGGATTAAGAAAAGTCTAGCCACGGAATTTGAGGTAAAAAACTTGGGACGGATGCGATACTTCCTCGGAATGGAAATGGGCTGATCGAAGAAGTGTATCAGTGTTTTACAACGGAAGTACATACTTGATCTCCCAACTGAGACTGGTATGCTTGGATGCAAGCCGAGTGATACACCACTGGAGATAAGAAGAAAAGATTAAATCACCGGAAAGTTAGTTGAAATGGACAGATATTAGCGACTGGTTGGAAAATTAATCTATCTCTCTCACACTAGACCAGATATTGCATTCGCTGTAAGTGTGGTAAGTCAACACATGCACTTTCCAAAGGAAGCTCACTTAGAAGCAGTATACAAAATCTTCACATATCTCCAAGGTACCCCCTAAAAAAGGACTATTCTTCATGAAAAATGAAATGAAAGAAGAAGTTTTTACTGATGCAGACTAGGATGGTTCACGAGGAGACAGGAAATCAACTACTGGCTTTGCACCTTCGTCTGAGGAAATTTGGTGACTTGAAAAAGTAAAAAGCAGAATGTGGTGGCTAAAAGTAGTGCTGAGGCTGAGTTTAAAGCAGTTGCACAAGGAATATGGCGAAGGATTGTGGATAAAGAAATTATTGAACGAATTACGGACTATGGTAAAACTTTCGATCAAACTCTATTACGACAACAAAGCGGCTATTAATATATCTCTCAATCCAGTCCAACATGATCGAACCAAACACGTGGAAATAGACGGACACTTCATCAAAGAAAATGTTGAAGAACGGATTATATGCATGACCTATGTGCCTACCAAAGAACAAGTTGCACATATCCTCACCAAATGACTGCCACGACAAAATTTTGAGGATTTCATCTACAAGTGGATATGGTCAATATCTATGATCCAACTTGAGGGGAGTATAGAAATCCCGTAATTATTTCTAGAATTATGGGGTAATTTGATATTATTATATAACCATATTTAGAGATTAGGAATATTTTTCCTTCCATATTTAGATAGTTAACCTTTTTTATTCATGTTTGTATATCATATATTGGTGCATAAGATTGTAAATATTATGTCGTATGAAACTAGAAAATTTCCAACTTTCTATTCCAGTTTACATGTCGCACAATGATAATTTGTGTAACGTCAAACATATGCAAGCACAGCATGTCATATAGGCTAGCAGAACGAGGATGTTAAGATTTTATGGCTTTAGCATGTGAAGCAAAAAAGAAAGAGAAAAAAAAGACCCACAAGGAAAAAAGTGAAAAGCAATAAGAAAAACACAAGTGACGTGCCCTATGAAATGAATCAGGGATCAAGATGGTTAAGAGGGAGGAGGTCTATCCATACCAAACTATCCTTGTTCTCCACAAATAGACGAATAGCATCATCAGCTGCTCCACTGGCAATTATTCCTTCCCTGTAATTATTCACAACTAAAATGAGGCCTTTACAAGGCCCAAAACAGATTTGTACACCCAAAATAATTAAAAATCACCAAGTTGTCCAAATACATAATTAAACAAAAGACTCTGTGTGATGAAAGGGGCAAAGGAAAATGGTAAATTAATTGCCATATCTTTCTTGCTACCTCGACCAATGGACTGAAAAAATTGTTCGATCATGATAGCCAGAGAGGGTACAAAGATGTGACCTGACAAAGCAAAAGAAAATAGTTGATCAGTTTGCTAATTTTTCTGCCAGGAAAGCATACAGACCATGTTAAAGAAGTCCTCAAACAAGGGCACTTTAGTACAACATCTGAGTACAGCGTTCCCTTCATATAAGAAAGTTCTTAATGTATAAAAATTCCATTAATACAAATAACTTAGTCCCATGAGATAAAGATCTAAGTGTATAGCTTCAATCAAACAGCATTTGACGTTCCCCAGTCAAAAACTTTTTAATATAGAGAAGGATTCTACACAAAAGTTGTTGAAGAAATCCAGGTTGTAAGTTGTGATCATATTAATGGGTAAGTTGTGATGATATTAATGGGTTATATGTTCTCTCACCAGACATTACAATGAAAAAGAAGACAAATGTACCAATAAGGTAAGGACATATTTATCATATATGAACTAGTTAATCATGTCTACTGTTTTGATTGCTCAATTGTACAAAGTTCATAGTAGCAAAAAGAATGAGGGACAGCGGGTTATGGGTTCAAAATTATATGAGATCTTTTCATTTTACAAATGATGATTCTTCAAATATCTTCTCTTACAACTTTAAGAATCCCCTTTGCGCGTGGGGGGTCATAACACATCCCTACATTTCACCTAACCTGCCTTCTGACAAATAAGCCCTTGTTTGAGGCTTTGAGCCCCATTTTTAAAAAATTCATTTTTCCCCAACATTTTCAGCCACAATCTTCCAATAAAATAATTTTACAAGTAAACCAAAAACTTTTCCATGCTTTTTAACCAAATTCTCCAAAAAAATCACTATTACAAAATCTATTTTCTAGAAAATGGGGCTCAAACAAACCCTAAATAAGTGAGCACAAATCATAAAGGAAAGCAGGTAAACATTCAGCACAAAAGCTTATATAAGTATGACTATTAATTGCAGCCCAATGATCCCACTGCAATACTATAGATATGAGACCAATTAATTTGGTTAAGTAACTACCCCAGACAATCAAAGTCAAGCCAAGCCAAGCCCCAAAAATCTATGATTATTGGGAAATTGGGACATTTGCATCACAACAACATTGTTTTTCAATTATACTAAATGGGAATCAAGGGGGTGCAACCCACATAGCAGCTCAGTGACTACCTATATACATTGGTATAAACTTCCAACAACTGCCAGGTAACATCAATGGAAATATTTCTCTTTAACGAAATGAATTATCTTCTTCCACAAAACCCTTTCTATCCTCTCCTTGGCACCACCTAAAAGATGGATGATGGAATTACAGAACTTCTTCCTCAAGGCTCAAGCAACTAAATATCTTGGTTTCATCAGCAGGAGATTTAGGTGACAGTTGGAAAGTGGTATCTTATGTAACCTTGAATTCAAATGGATTAGATGAAGGACTAATAATTTTCTTGCACCATCACTATGCTCTCAAACAATGCATTAATCAGCAGTAAACATTTTAGCTCCTACTAATTAGACCATTAATGTTCTATGCACATATCATTCTAGTAATCCTCCAATAGTTTCCTATTTTTCTGTCCCCTTAATTATCTGACATGTAGCAATGAAGCTATAACGTCAAGACCAAAAAAATAATAATAATAATAAAATAAAATAAAATAAATTGAGGCTCACTTGTATCAGAAAGAGGTCATAATTTATGGAGAAAATGAAATAAGGTCATCAACAAATAAATGGAAGGACTACCATATAAAAATATGCATAATCAAGAAAAAGGGTGTGTATATATTATCTTTTGCATATTGCTTAACAATAGATATTTTATCTTTTGCAATATTAATCAAGTTAATTACGAAACTCACAATACAAAAGAATCATATATTGAATAGCCCTTGAATTCAACTGGATTAGACAGACTAATAATTTTCTTGCATCGTCACTATGCTCTCAATCATTGATTTGATCAGCATTAAACATGGCTCCACACTAATTAGACCCATTGCATGTACTAGGCACATGGCTTTCTCATAATCCTTCAATAGCTTCCTATGTTTCTGTCCCCTTAATTATCTGACATGTACGGAGAAGCTGTAACATCAAGTTCACGTGATAGATGCAAGTTTAAATCCTCTTGTTTTGGAGATAAAATACAAAGTTAAAAAGGAATCTAAAAGTTCATCTCAAGCAATGGTAAAGAAGAGGAATAAAACATACAAATGATAATTTGCTCACCAAGGTGCATATCCATCACCTGACTGCATCCTCATGATATCAGCACCCCATATCTTAAGAGTAAGATCATCACTGCGAAAGCAATTTGACTACATTATACATCCCTTCACAACTACTTATCTTCTAATAGTTGCATTACAGCTCTAATAATAATTGGAAATAGAAATTCTCATCAAATTTAAATAAATTGGCAAAAAAAACTTGTGAAAAGTCATGCATACCTACAGGTAACCATTTTGTCTCCTTCCAAATTGAAAGATAAAGCCCAGACTGATGATATATGTCCACTGGAAACGCAGAGACAGTTACGTGAGATTTTAACAAAATCATAAACAAGCCAGAAGCGTAGGGAAAATGATGTCAAAATTGATAAGCAAGTGAAGCTCAAATAATAACCATGGATGACGGAATTAAATCTCAAAATTTTATGATATGTGTTGAGGTCAACTTCAGGGGAAAGATCTGATAACTCAAGGGATGGGACAGAAAGTATATGAAAAGAGATATGGCAAAGACATTGGCTTGGCAGTAAGAGCATATTTTTCACCTGATGTTATTGCAACATACTGGATCGACTGTGTAAATCCGTTAAAATGAGTTCTATTTCAACTGATTTTATTTTTCGACTTTAAAAGGTTGATATGCAGATCAAAAGATGTTAATGTTAATGGACCAACTGTACCTAACCTATACGCTCAAAGCCGTTGGTCAATGTAGCAGGCGACAGAGAATCAATAAGTTTTCAAACTTAATTTTGGTTTCTACATCACCATCTTGAGTTTGAGGGGGAGTGCTACACATTTTATTTTCTTGTTCAATCAAATCCGAGGCAAACAGGGTTTTCTTTGTTTCCTTGTTAGGATATTTAGTCAACTCTATTGATTATTTACCTAATACTTAGATTCTATGCATAAGATATATTATGATAGTTATAGGAAAGATTATGGAAGGTATTCGTATAGAAGATTATGCTAATTAGATTTACCTTTCTTATTTTGGTTATTTCTAACCCTATAAATAAGGTCTTTCACATTGTAAGCCATAAGACATAAAAGAGTTGTACAAATTCTCTATCTTCTCCATACTTCTATCACAGTTTCTTTCTTCTATAGTTTCCAACAGCGGAGAAAACTATTTTTACCTTCACTATCCTCACTATAAATATATTAAAGTAAAAGTCTTGCTGAAATAGATTATATAGAAATAAGTCTTGTTTCAATTAATTTTGCAACGTCATTGAAAAGCATGCCAAATATTTAAATTTATAACAGTTAAGGATACTGTAATTTTATGGAAGAAGAAAGAAATATGAGTGAATGTACCTCATACACATGTTTACAAGGGTTGTATTGATATTCGCGTTTCATGTTTAAACATAGAATGCTAGGCAGAAAGAAAACATGGAATAAATTTAACTAATGATAATATGCTAATTTAAAAATCATTAGTAGGTTATCCTTCTTTTTTAATCAGGATAATTGTTGACCTAAAATTCTTACACCAAACGGGTGACCAAAGATTTAGTCAACAAAGAAAGGTTTGATACTGTGACTCTGTTTACCGAATCATATTAGCTCCTAGTTAACAGAGAAAAGGAGTGGCATGGTGGTATATGGAATCAAGGGACAAACAACAGGACAAGCATTTGAAATGATATACTAAAAGCCTGATATTTATAATTGATATAAAATATAAATAGATACAAATGAGTAGTGGATAACTAGGTAGTACTTGAAGGTCATACGAAATGTGTGGATAAAAGTTAATTGGCCGATTAAAAAAAAAAATTATAAACAGGTGCCAAACAAGTACTAAATCACAGTTCATAACAAGTGTTACTATTAGAAAGCTTATTAAATAGCATGAGAGATGGAAGAAGCCATGGGTAACTGAGCATGAGCCATACAATTCTCTCAAACGCGAAGAACAAGTGCAAAACCATACCCATCAGATTCACCTAAAGTTTGAACACAATGCCAATCATCGTTGTCCCCATCTTCAGCCCAAATCTGCCAGAGTTTGATGCATGTTATTCAACATCTTCCAGTATTTCGAATTTAAACAGAAGGAATACTGGTTAAACATTAGAGTAGAATGCATGACCAGAATAATGGGATATTTTGACTATCTTATACACCTTAATAGTGTTGTCATAGCTACATGAGAACAGGATATCCATAGATGGATGCCATTGGACCATTTTAACATCTTGAGTATGTCCTTGCAACACCGAAACGCAGTCAAACTCGTTACCAGGCAATACTTCCCATATCCAAACCGATTTATCTCGTCCACAAGTAGCAAGCAGTGAGCCAGATGCATTCCAAGAGACACTTTTGACTTCATTTTCATGACCCTGTACGCAAATTCAACATTCGAATCCGTATAAAGGCAGCTGAGCCAGAGAGATCTTACAGCTACTAAATTGAGGAAAAAATACTAATCAATTGCATCATGTGTTTGCTTTGAGGCCAAAGGACAGACTTGGAATATCTGAATGGAAATTGTTTTAAACATTGTATAACTAGCTAGGATTCAGGAGAAAATATTAGCAGTTTTCGTAGAATATAATATGATATACTTTCCTTAACCGTTAGATATGGAATTTAAATATTAAATTATACCTCTAGAGTGGAGACACATTCATAATCATCACCAACACGTTCCCAAATAGCAGTAGTCGCATCAAAACTTGCTGTCGCTAACAATTTGCCAGATGGTGACCAAGAACATGACCTAACAGTCCTAGTGTGTGTCTCATCCAATACTGCCTGCATGATCACGTATCACATAAAAATGAAATCACCAGCATTGATGGAAAAAATAATGAAAATGCAGACACTCAATAATCAATATTAAAATCCAAATGCATATTTGCATTATTTAAAAGGAAAATAAAGTTTAAAAACTAAGCAATATAGCAAATATGAGCCTTTAAAGTCAAATTGAGGGCGGTGGATGAAAAAAAATGTAGTTTTATTCCCTGTTTTAAGGCAAAATAGCAAGCCCCAATATAGAAAAACTCCAAGATCAAATACGTTCTTATAGCAGTTGACGCAACTCCCTTCGATTGTTCTACAGTGTCAAGTCAAAATGAGAAAAAATAGTTTTATTCCCCGTTTTCAGGGCATAATTCTAAGCCCCAAAAAATGATCAACATTTCCAAGATCATATGCGTTTTTATAGCAGTTAACCCAAATTGAAATAGCTTCATTTATTTTAAAAGTAATATTCAATGCTACATTCAATGCCACATTGTCATTATACGTCAGCTTCTCTCAATCAATTTATCATTTCTTATCAAGCATAAATAGAAATACAAGACTCAATCAATGAATCAGATCCCACAGTATCAGAGAAATGTAAAGTTATACAAAATATTAAAAAACAAATTTTTTTCTATTTGTAGATATAATTATATTGATTATCCCCGAACCACATTTTTTGTTACGTTTATAAGCGAAAATATCTCAGAAGCAAAACCCAATCTGAAAATCTAACGAAAATAATCCAAAAATTGTACCTTGCACTGAAAAGAGCCTGTAGCGGGGCTCTGTTCCCAGACTCTTACGGTCTTGTCGCCGCTACAAGAAGCAAGTACGGCGGGGATATCATTGACGCCTGTCGCCGGTTTCCAGGAGAGGCTCCAAACCCTATCGGTGTGGCCTTCGAGTACCTGCTTTTCCTTAAGATCAAAATCGCCGGTGAAATTCATCGCACAACTTTTCAGAGATAAAAGTAAACAAATTTTATGTTTTGACAAATGAAGCGTAGGGAAGTACACGTGCCGCCGCAGTTAGTGGCGGATTGCGCTGAAGTATGAAAGTGTGTTGGGCTCGTGCCGATTTCGCTTTATTAATTTACACTTTGATCCCAGATTCATAAATCATATTTCTTTTGCCTCTATGGCTGTAAAGTCAGACCTCAGTCCAATAATTGTTAATCCATATTTGGTGGATGTTAAATTAATGAATTTTAATATAAGATAAGTCAATAATTAATTTTATTCATAAATTTTACGAGATTCACAATTTTTTAATCATATATTTTATCAACTATCATCAAATTTACTAAAAAGCTCAAAAAAAAAATTATGAAATAGGGCATAATTTAGCCTCTGTTTATTTCTCATTATTTGGTCATTAAAATGAAAAATATGATTGTTATCCTTCACGTCAAGCTACTATATTTGAATTTCTATCTCTTGTGTAGAGCACGTAATGACTATTTTTCCAAACTCATTCTTAAATTAATGGAAAACAAACGAGACCTTAATAACTATGCTATCTAATAATAATATAAAGTATCAAAAAAAGAGATTAATTTGTTGAACCACATTTTTTGGAAAACTATCTATCTGGAGTATCACACTTCTTCCAAGTTGTCCTGTTCTTGAACTGTATATCTCAAGTAATTTATGAGCTACTACTTCCAAGTTGTCCTATTCTTGAACTGTATATCTCAAGTAATTTATGAGCTACTACATGAGTAGGATTTGACTGGTCAATAAAATAAATACAAGAGTGAATGGTGATTCATCTTTGTTAGAGGAAGGATGATAATCACACATATCTTCGACTTCCTCTTCATTATGCTCTTTTGATGATGCAGTTGCTCTAAGATTTTCTTCCAATATTTTCTCGTGAGTATTTTTTTTTTCCCTTTTCTTTAGACTTACGAGGAGAGTATAAGACTAAATTAGCATGATGAAAACTTTCTAACTACTTATTAGGGCAGGCTATAAGATTTTGGGTGCCATGTATGACATTTTAAAATATTACTCCTTTCATGTAATTAAAAAGGGTATATATATATATATATACATTTTAAAATATTACTCCTTTCATGTATGACATTTTAAAATATTACTCCTTTCATGTAATTAAAAAGGGTATATATATATATATATACATTTTAAAATATTACTCCTTTCATTTATTTCCTAATAAAAAGATCTTTGATTTCCAATGTGAAAATTGTGAACTAGCAAAGCTCATCGTTACTCATTCCCACAATCTACGCACAAACCGTCGAAACCATTCACCTTAATTCATAGTGTTTTAAGGGGGTCCATCACTCATCCCTAGTAGAATGCACAAAAAATGGTTCGTAACATTTATAGAAAACCATTCTAGATTGTGTTAGGTTTACCCACTAAAAGAAAAGTCTGATATCCAAACTATGTTCAAAAACCTCCTTCAATGTACCAAACACAAATACAAATTTTGCGTACTGATAATAGCACAGAATATTTTAAGACTACCTTGAAAGAATTTCTCCAAAAACAAGGAATAATTTATCAAAGCTCTTATGTCGATACTCCCCTACAAAATAGGATTGTTTGAACGAAAAAATAGAGACATTTTGAAGATAACTCGTGCCTTAATGTTCACCAAAAATATGTCGAAATATTTTTGGAGAGATGCCATCTTAACATCGACATATCTTATAAATAGAATGCCCAGCCGAATTCTCTCATTCAAATCACCTCTCCAAATGCTTCAAGATTTTTTTCCCAGTTCCCACCTTAATTTAAACTTACATCTCCGAATATTCGAGTGTATTGCCGTTGTCCATATGTATCACCGAAGTAACTCAATCCTCGTGCACTTAAATGTGACTTCATTGGATACTCATCCACCCAAAAGGGCTACAAATGCTATGATACATCCACAAAAAGGATATTTGTAAGCATTGATGTCACATTCTTCAAAGAAACTCCCTATTTTCAAAAGTCCTATCTTTAGAGGGAGAAGTTGAATGAAGATCGACACTTGGGCAAAGATCAACTCTTAGACTTTACTCTCACCCCTACTGAACCAATCATAAACATGGAATCTATCACTCCTAACATGCCATCTACAAAGGGAAATTTAAATTCAAGGGGAGATACAAAAAAGCAAGTTACCAAGGAGATATTAGCTTACTCAAGAAAATCAAAATCAACGTACAAAGAGAACCTCACACCCAAAGCACTAAAAGAGTTGGAACTGATAATAGCTTCAGATCCATATGAGAACTCTTTAGATAATCAGACCTCTTCAAATAATGAGCCTTCAAAAAAGTGACCTACCCATTGCTCTAAGAAAAAAACCTTGATCATGTACTCTTCACCCTATTTCAAAATTTGTTTCCTGTAACAATCTATCTGCAAGATTTCACACCTTATCTTATAATCTCGACAATACAGAAATTCCAAAAAATATTCAGGAGGATATGATTATTCCAAAATGAAAAGAAACAATTTTGGAAGAAATATGAGCATTGGAGAAAAATAAAACATGGGAGGTGGTAGAACTACCAAAAGGAAAAAAAACCTATCAGACGCAAATGGGTCTTTAATGTAAAGTATAAAGCTGATGGGATAATAGAATAGTACAAACCTCGTCTTGTTGCAAAAGAATATACACAAACTTACGGTATTTATTACACAAAGACCTTTGCCCCTGTAGCAAAATTGAATACTATTCGGGTTATCTTATCCTTACAGCAAACTTGGATTGATCTCTCCAACAGCTTGATATTAAGAATGCGTTCCTAAACAGAGAATCGGAAGAAGTCTTCATGACACTCATGAGAAAAATAAGGTGTGTAAACTTAAAAAGTCACCATATGGCTTCAAACAATCACCAAGAACATGATTCGCCAGATTTGCAAAAGAGTGGAAAAGTCAAAGATATCAATAAGGACAATCAGATCATACTTTGTTTTACCATCTGAGAAAGGGATGAAAACAATCTTAATTGTTTGAGTTGATAACATTGTAGTGACCAGAGATAATATAGTAGAAATCGACAGGATTAAGAAAAGTCTAGCCACGGAATTTGAGGTAAAAAACTTGGGACGGATGCGATACTTCCTCGGAATGGAAATGGGCTGATCGAAGAAGTGTATCAGTGTTTTACAACGGAAGTACATACTTGATCTCCCAACTGAGACTGGTATGCTTGGATGCAAGCCGAGTGATACACCACTGGAGATAAGAAGAAAAGATTAAATCACCGGAAAGTTAGTTGAAATGGACAGATATTAGCGACTGGTTGGAAAATTAATCTATCTCTCTCACACTAGACCAGATATTGCATTCGCTGTAAGTGTGGTAAGTCAACACATGCACTTTCCAAAGGAAGCTCACTTAGAAGCAGTATACAAAATCTTCACATATCTCCAAGGTACCCCCTAAAAAAGGACTATTCTTCATGAAAAATGAAATGAAAGAAGAAGTTTTTACTGATGCAGACTAGGATGGTTCACGAGGAGACAGGAAATCAACTACTGGCTTTGCACCTTCGTCTGAGGAAATTTGGTGACTTGAAAAAGTAAAAAGCAGAATGTGGTGGCTAAAAGTAGTGCTGAGGCTGAGTTTAAAGCAGTTGCACAAGGAATATGGCGAAGGATTGTGGATAAAGAAATTATTGAACGAATTACGGACTATGGTAAAACTTTCGATCAAACTCTATTACGACAACAAAGCGGCTATTAATATATCTCTCAATCCAGTCCAACATGATCGAACCAAACACGTGGAAATAGACGGACACTTCATCAAAGAAAATGTTGAAGAACGGATTATATGCATGACCTATGTGCCTACCAAAGAACAAGTTGCACATATCCTCACCAAATGACTGCCACGACAAAATTTTGAGGATTTCATCTACAAGTGGATATGGTCAATATCTATGATCCAACTTGAGGGGAGTATAGAAATCCCGTAATTATTTCTAGAATTATGGGGTAATTTGATATTATTATATAACCATATTTAGAGATTAGGAATATTTTTCCTTCCATATTTAGATAGTTAACCTTTTTTATTCATGTTTGTATATCATATATTGGTGCATAAGATTGTAAATATTATGTCGTATGAAACTAGAAAATTTCCAACTTTCTATTCCAGTTTACATGTCGCACAATGATAATTTGTGTAACGTCAAACATATGCAAGCACAGCATGTCATATAGGCTAGCAGAACGAGGATGTTAAGATTTTATGGCTTTAGCATGTGAAGCAAAAAAGAAAGAGAAAAAAAAGACCCACAAGGAAAAAAGTGAAAAGCAATAAGAAAAACACAAGTGACGTGCCCTATGAAATGAATCAGGGATCAAGATGGTTAAGAGGGAGGAGGTCTATCCATACCAAACTATCCTTGTTCTCCACAAATAGACGAATAGCATCATCAGCTGCTCCACTGGCAATTATTCCTTCCCTGTAATTATTCACAACTAAAATGAGGCCTTTACAAGGCCCAAAACAGATTTGTACACCCAAAATAATTAAAAATCACCAAGTTGTCCAAATACATAATTAAACAAAAGACTCTGTGTGATGAAAGGGGCAAAGGAAAATGGTAAATTAATTGCCATATCTTTCTTGCTACCTCGACCAATGGACTGAAAAAATTGTTCGATCATGATAGCCAGAGAGGGTACAAAGATGTGACCTGACAAAGCAAAAGAAAATAGTTGATCAGTTTGCTAATTTTTCTGCCAGGAAAGCATACAGACCATGTTAAAGAAGTCCTCAAACAAGGGCACTTTAGTACAACATCTGAGTACAGCGTTCCCTTCATATAAGAAAGTTCTTAATGTATAAAAATTCCATTAATACAAATAACTTAGTCCCATGAGATAAAGATCTAAGTGTATAGCTTCAATCAAACAGCATTTGACGTTCCCCAGTCAAAAACTTTTTAATATAGAGAAGGATTCTACACAAAAGTTGTTGAAGAAATCCAGGTTGTAAGTTGTGATCATATTAATGGGTAAGTTGTGATGATATTAATGGGTTATATGTTCTCTCACCAGACATTACAATGAAAAAGAAGACAAATGTACCAATAAGGTAAGGACATATTTATCATATATGAACTAGTTAATCATGTCTACTGTTTTGATTGCTCAATTGTACAAAGTTCATAGTAGCAAAAAGAATGAGGGACAGCGGGTTATGGGTTCAAAATTATATGAGATCTTTTCATTTTACAAATGATGATTCTTCAAATATCTTCTCTTACAACTTTAAGAATCCCCTTTGCGCGTGGGGGGTCATAACACATCCCTACATTTCACCTAACCTGCCTTCTGACAAATAAGCCCTTGTTTGAGGCTTTGAGCCCCATTTTTAAAAAATTCATTTTTCCCCAACATTTTCAGCCACAATCTTCCAATAAAATAATTTTACAAGTAAACCAAAAACTTTTCCATGCTTTTTAACCAAATTCTCCAAAAAAATCACTATTACAAAATCTATTTTCTAGAAAATGGGGCTCAAACAAACCCTAAATAAGTGAGCACAAATCATAAAGGAAAGCAGGTAAACATTCAGCACAAAAGCTTATATAAGTATGACTATTAATTGCAGCCCAATGATCCCACTGCAATACTATAGATATGAGACCAATTAATTTGGTTAAGTAACTACCCCAGACAATCAAAGTCAAGCCAAGCCAAGCCCCAAAAATCTATGATTATTGGGAAATTGGGACATTTGCATCACAACAACATTGTTTTTCAATTATACTAAATGGGAATCAAGGGGGTGCAACCCACATAGCAGCTCAGTGACTACCTATATACATTGGTATAAACTTCCAACAACTGCCAGGTAACATCAATGGAAATATTTCTCTTTAACGAAATGAATTATCTTCTTCCACAAAACCCTTTCTATCCTCTCCTTGGCACCACCTAAAAGATGGATGATGGAATTACAGAACTTCTTCCTCAAGGCTCAAGCAACTAAATATCTTGGTTTCATCAGCAGGAGATTTAGGTGACAGTTGGAAAGTGGTATCTTATGTAACCTTGAATTCAAATGGATTAGATGAAGGACTAATAATTTTCTTGCACCATCACTATGCTCTCAAACAATGCATTAATCAGCAGTAAACATTTTAGCTCCTACTAATTAGACCATTAATGTTCTATGCACATATCATTCTAGTAATCCTCCAATAGTTTCCTATTTTTCTGTCCCCTTAATTATCTGACATGTAGCAATGAAGCTATAACGTCAAGACCAAAAAAATAATAATAATAATAAAATAAAATAAAATAAATTGAGGCTCACTTGTATCAGAAAGAGGTCATAATTTATGGAGAAAATGAAATAAGGTCATCAACAAATAAATGGAAGGACTACCATATAAAAATATGCATAATCAAGAAAAAGGGTGTGTATATATTATCTTTTGCATATTGCTTAACAATAGATATTTTATCTTTTGCAATATTAATCAAGTTAATTACGAAACTCACAATACAAAAGAATCATATATTGAATAGCCCTTGAATTCAACTGGATTAGACAGACTAATAATTTTCTTGCATCGTCACTATGCTCTCAATCATTGATTTGATCAGCATTAAACATGGCTCCACACTAATTAGACCCATTGCATGTACTAGGCACATGGCTTTCTCATAATCCTTCAATAGCTTCCTATGTTTCTGTCCCCTTAATTATCTGACATGTACGGAGAAGCTGTAACATCAAGTTCACGTGATAGATGCAAGTTTAAATCCTCTTGTTTTGGAGATAAAATACAAAGTTAAAAAGGAATCTAAAAGTTCATCTCAAGCAATGGTAAAGAAGAGGAATAAAACATACAAATGATAATTTGCTCACCAAGGTGCATATCCATCACCTGACTGCATCCTCATGATATCAGCACCCCATATCTTAAGAGTAAGATCATCACTGCGAAAGCAATTTGACTACATTATACATCCCTTCACAACTACTTATCTTCTAATAGTTGCATTACAGCTCTAATAATAATTGGAAATAGAAATTCTCATCAAATTTAAATAAATTGGCAAAAAAAACTTGTGAAAAGTCATGCATACCTACAGGTAACCATTTTGTCTCCTTCCAAATTGAAAGATAAAGCCCAGACTGATGATATATGTCCACTGGAAACGCAGAGACAGTTACGTGAGATTTTAACAAAATCATAAACAAGCCAGAAGCGTAGGGAAAATGATGTCAAAATTGATAAGCAAGTGAAGCTCAAATAATAACCATGGATGACGGAATTAAATCTCAAAATTTTATGATATGTGTTGAGGTCAACTTCAGGGGAAAGATCTGATAACTCAAGGGATGGGACAGAAAGTATATGAAAAGAGATATGGCAAAGACATTGGCTTGGCAGTAAGAGCATATTTTTCACCTGATGTTATTGCAACATACTGGATCGACTGTGTAAATCCGTTAAAATGAGTTCTATTTCAACTGATTTTATTTTTCGACTTTAAAAGGTTGATATGCAGATCAAAAGATGTTAATGTTAATGGACCAACTGTACCTAACCTATACGCTCAAAGCCGTTGGTCAATGTAGCAGGCGACAGAGAATCAATAAGTTTTCAAACTTAATTTTGGTTTCTACATCACCATCTTGAGTTTGAGGGGGAGTGCTACACATTTTATTTTCTTGTTCAATCAAATCCGAGGCAAACAGGGTTTTCTTTGTTTCCTTGTTAGGATATTTAGTCAACTCTATTGATTATTTACCTAATACTTAGATTCTATGCATAAGATATATTATGATAGTTATAGGAAAGATTATGGAAGGTATTCGTATAGAAGATTATGCTAATTAGATTTACCTTTCTTATTTTGGTTATTTCTAACCCTATAAATAAGGTCTTTCACATTGTAAGCCATAAGACATAAAAGAGTTGTACAAATTCTCTATCTTCTCCATACTTCTATCACAGTTTCTTTCTTCTATAGTTTCCAACAGCGGAGAAAACTATTTTTACCTTCACTATCCTCACTATAAATATATTAAAGTAAAAGTCTTGCTGAAATAGATTATATAGAAATAAGTCTTGTTTCAATTAATTTTGCAACGTCATTGAAAAGCATGCCAAATATTTAAATTTATAACAGTTAAGGATACTGTAATTTTATGGAAGAAGAAAGAAATATGAGTGAATGTACCTCATACACATGTTTACAAGGGTTGTATTGATATTCGCGTTTCATGTTTAAACATAGAATGCTAGGCAGAAAGAAAACATGGAATAAATTTAACTAATGATAATATGCTAATTTAAAAATCATTAGTAGGTTATCCTTCTTTTTTAATCAGGATAATTGTTGACCTAAAATTCTTACACCAAACGGGTGACCAAAGATTTAGTCAACAAAGAAAGGTTTGATACTGTGACTCTGTTTACCGAATCATATTAGCTCCTAGTTAACAGAGAAAAGGAGTGGCATGGTGGTATATGGAATCAAGGGACAAACAACAGGACAAGCATTTGAAATGATATACTAAAAGCCTGATATTTATAATTGATATAAAATATAAATAGATACAAATGAGTAGTGGATAACTAGGTAGTACTTGAAGGTCATACGAAATGTGTGGATAAAAGTTAATTGGCCGATTAAAAAAAAAAATTATAAACAGGTGCCAAACAAGTACTAAATCACAGTTCATAACAAGTGTTACTATTAGAAAGCTTATTAAATAGCATGAGAGATGGAAGAAGCCATGGGTAACTGAGCATGAGCCATACAATTCTCTCAAACGCGAAGAACAAGTGCAAAACCATACCCATCAGATTCACCTAAAGTTTGAACACAATGCCAATCATCGTTGTCCCCATCTTCAGCCCAAATCTGCCAGAGTTTGATGCATGTTATTCAACATCTTCCAGTATTTCGAATTTAAACAGAAGGAATACTGGTTAAACATTAGAGTAGAATGCATGACCAGAATAATGGGATATTTTGACTATCTTATACACCTTAATAGTGTTGTCATAGCTACATGAGAACAGGATATCCATAGATGGATGCCATTGGACCATTTTAACATCTTGAGTATGTCCTTGCAACACCGAAACGCAGTCAAACTCGTTACCAGGCAATACTTCCCATATCCAAACCGATTTATCTCGTCCACAAGTAGCAAGCAGTGAGCCAGATGCATTCCAAGAGACACTTTTGACTTCATTTTCATGACCCTGTACGCAAATTCAACATTCGAATCCGTATAAAGGCAGCTGAGCCAGAGAGATCTTACAGCTACTAAATTGAGGAAAAAATACTAATCAATTGCATCATGTGTTTGCTTTGAGGCCAAAGGACAGACTTGGAATATCTGAATGGAAATTGTTTTAAACATTGTATAACTAGCTAGGATTCAGGAGAAAATATTAGCAGTTTTCGTAGAATATAATATGATATACTTTCCTTAACCGTTAGATATGGAATTTAAATATTAAATTATACCTCTAGAGTGGAGACACATTCATAATCATCACCAACACGTTCCCAAATAGCAGTAGTCGCATCAAAACTTGCTGTCGCTAACAATTTGCCAGATGGTGACCAAGAACATGACCTAACAGTCCTAGTGTGTGTCTCATCCAATACTGCCTGCATGATCACGTATCACATAAAAATGAAATCACCAGCATTGATGGAAAAAATAATGAAAATGCAGACACTCAATAATCAATATTAAAATCCAAATGCATATTTGCATTATTTAAAAGGAAAATAAAGTTTAAAAACTAAGCAATATAGCAAATATGAGCCTTTAAAGTCAAATTGAGGGCGGTGGATGAAAAAAAATGTAGTTTTATTCCCTGTTTTAAGGCAAAATAGCAAGCCCCAATATAGAAAAACTCCAAGATCAAATACGTTCTTATAGCAGTTGACGCAACTCCCTTCGATTGTTCTACAGTGTCAAGTCAAAATGAGAAAAAATAGTTTTATTCCCCGTTTTCAGGGCATAATTCTAAGCCCCAAAAAATGATCAACATTTCCAAGATCATATGCGTTTTTATAGCAGTTAACCCAAATTGAAATAGCTTCATTTATTTTAAAAGTAATATTCAATGCTACATTCAATGCCACATTGTCATTATACGTCAGCTTCTCTCAATCAATTTATCATTTCTTATCAAGCATAAATAGAAATACAAGACTCAATCAATGAATCAGATCCCACAGTATCAGAGAAATGTAAAGTTATACAAAATATTAAAAAACAAATTTTTTTCTATTTGTAGATATAATTATATTGATTATCCCCGAACCACATTTTTTGTTACGTTTATAAGCGAAAATATCTCAGAAGCAAAACCCAATCTGAAAATCTAACGAAAATAATCCAAAAATTGTACCTTGCACTGAAAAGAGCCTGTAGCGGGGCTCTGTTCCCAGACTCTTACGGTCTTGTCGCCGCTACAAGAAGCAAGTACGGCGGGGATATCATTGACGCCTGTCGCCGGTTTCCAGGAGAGGCTCCAAACCCTATCGGTGTGGCCTTCGAGTACCTGCTTTTCCTTAAGATCAAAATCGCCGGTGAAATTCATCGCACAACTTTTCAGAGATAAAAGTAAACAAATTTTATGTTTTGACAAATGAAGCGTAGGGAAGTACACGTGCCGCCGCAGTTAGTGGCGGATTGCGCTGAAGTATGAAAGTGTGTTGGGCTCGTGCCGATTTCGCTTTATTAATTTACACTTTGATCCCAGATTCATAAATCATATTTCTTTTGCCTCTATGGCTGTAAAGTCAGACCTCAGTCCAATAATTGTTAATCCATATTTGGTGGATGTTAAATTAATGAATTTTAATATAAGATAAGTCAATAATTAATTTTATTCATAAATTTTACGAGATTCACAATTTTTTAATCATATATTTTATCAACTATCGTCAAATTTACTAAAAAGCTCAAAAAAAAAATTATGAAATAGGGCATAATTTAGCCTCTGTTTATTTCTCATTATTTGGTCATTAAAATGAAAAATATGATTGTCATTCTTCATATCAAGCTACCATATTTGAATTTTTATCTCTTGTGTAGAGCACGTAATGACTATTTTTCCAAACTCATTCTTAAATTAATGGAAAACAAACGAGACCTTAATAACTATGCTATCTAATAATAATATAAAGTATCAAAAAAAGAGATTAATTTGTTGAACCACATTTTTTGGAAAACTATCTATCTGGAGTATCACACTTCTTCCAAGTTGTCCTGTTCTTGAACTGTATATCTCAAGTAATTTATGAGCTACTACTTCCAAGTTGTCCTATTCTTGAACTGTATATCTCAAGTAATTTATGAGCTACTACTTCCAAGTTGTCCTATTCTTGAACTGTATATCTCAAGTAATTTATGAGCTACTACTTCCAAGTTGTCCTATTCTTGAACTGTATATCTCAAGTAATTTATGAGCTACTACATGAGTAGGATTTGACTGGTCAATAAAATAAATACAAGAGTGAATGGTGATTCATCTTTGTTAGACGAAGGATGATAATCACACATATCTTCGACTTCCTCTTAATTATGCTCTTTTGATGATGCAGTTGCTATAAGATTTTCTTCCAATATTTTCTTGTGAGTATTTTTTTTCCTTTTCTTTAGACTTACGAGGACAATATAAGACTAAATTAGCATGATGAAAACTTTCTAACTACTTATTAGGGCAGGCTATAAGATTTTGGGTGCCCCGTATGACATTTTAAAATATTACTCCTTTCATGTAATTAAAAAGGGTATATATATAATAAAAAAAAAAAAAAAGAAGAAGAAGAAGAACTTACCGACACCAATAAAAAAAATTTTAAATGGTGCATCTTTCATGTAACAAAAACTTAACTTTCTTGAACCACGAAATAATAATTAACAAGTGGACAATCGGCACCAATAAAATGATAATGTTACGATGTAGATTGTACTATTATATAGCAAGCAACAAAGATCGACGATCAAGTCTCTTCCCTTTTTGTTTGAGAGTTCTTCAAAGGGTGGAAGTAACGAAAATGGCACAAAGGGATTTGAGATTAACTTTTTATTCTTTACTTTAATCATTTGAATTTTGAGCTGCTTATTGTTTTGTTGAGTTGATAATTTATTAATGAAGCTAATTAGGCATTTGGGATTGAGCTGTAAAATTGATAGTTTAAAATAATTTCTTTGAGAGCAAAATGTAATTTAAAATTACAAAGAATAAATATCTTTCAATAATATGTTAAATTAAAAGAATATTAGTCTAACGTAAATTTTTTATATTTTTTACTTTTTTTTGGTAAATATTGTGTCCTTTAACTTAACATGATAATAATAATTTAAAATTTAAAATTAATAAAACATTTGAAATATATAATTATACATCTATGAACACCTAAAACAAAAAAAGAAAAAGAAAAAAAGGTACCGCCCTTACAATACTACGGCCTCGTACGGTCCCTCAACTCGCACATCCTCAAAGTCGTCTTGCTACCTATAAGTATGTGGTACCATTAGATAATTAGAAGCATCCTTCCTATTAATAAATTTGACACACTTATTTGACTATTAATCGTGACATTTAGTCCTCGTTTGGCTCTCATTCTCCTACTTATTCTTTCTTTCTCTCTTATTTTTAACTACACAATTTTTCATAAAATAATATTACACGCAAATCAAAAAAATTTTATTTTTTTTCAATCATACATTTTTCAAATAAACATTATTCCAACCATTAGAATTTGGATAGAATGGGAGCCAAACGAGGACTTAGTTTAAGTCAATTCAATGCTCAATATTTTATAGATTTCAAGTTGTTATAACAAATTTCCCCATAATATTAGTGAACTTCATATTGAGCATTAATTGATTCAAATTAAAGGTCACGAATATTTGTCAAATAAGTGTGTCAAATTTATGAGTATGAAGAACGGTCTCGTTAACTAATATATATTATATATTTTTTCTAGGTGATATTGATGTAATTAAATAAACAATAAGTTCCAATTAGTCTTCAATAAATTATAGAGAAATTTGCACTTTAGGTCTCAAACATTTAAAAAATATACAGCCACCTTTCAAACCTACTAGTCTTAGCTTTTTTTGATATCCATTATTCCATTATAAAAAGAAATTTTGATAAAATGTATTATGGAATATTATTTTTGGGGAGACTGTGTGGATAAAAAAGAATGACATTTTTTTGATTGACGCATAATATTATTTTATTGAAAAATAAGTGGTTGAAAAGAATAGAGAAAAAATGTATATGAAACTTTAAAAGGTGTCAAACAAGAGGGAAAATCTACATTCAAAAACTTTTAATAAACGTGAGTCAGATTGACTTTTGACAGTTTCCATCCAAAAATATGTAAGTTGATCAAAAGTGTAACGTCAGACTTTTATTTGATCAATTTAGCCCTTGTTTGATCCCCATTTTTTCAAGAATGCATTTTTTTAAAACTCATTTTCAATCACACGTTCTTCTATAAAATGATTATACACGAATTTCAAAAATTTTTCCTTACTTTTTAAACACACATTCTCCAAAAAATTACTATTCCATAATTCATTTTATCTCAAAAATAAGAATCAAACAGGGACTTAATATAAGGTAAA